CTATTCACTACCCTAAAGGTATTTCCTTCTTCAGGAGATTATAAACTCTCCTTTCATTCTGCTTTTCAAGCAAATGTTTCTGGAGGTTTGGGGGATTTTTTTTATATTGCCACTTTCTTCAGGAAATGGTAATGAATTAAATTGTTTTTTATGGATTTTTGTTGCTTTAGATGAGATGCAGAAGGACTCCAAACACTCTTTTTGAGCTAGATTCCGTCATGACTATAATTTGGGTTTTGTATCATGGGGTTCTGGCCTTCAGCGTTTACCTGATGTATATTCTTGAAAACCCCAAAAGTCAAAGTATTGTCTCATCAGTGTAAGAGGTATTTCCCCATTTATGAGTGACAATTTTGCAATTTTGTGTGCTTTTCTTGTTTAGAGACTTGAAGTAGTTAATCAGCATGTGGAACTGAATGAGGGGGATCCACCATGCTTACCTGAGATTTAAGGCCCTATGATTGTTTGCTCCTGAAATCAAATGAAACTAATACCTCCTTTTGGTAGCACCACACTGTATATTCCCTTAGAGGTTCAGGACCTTCTTAGGAAGACATGAAGGATTTTACAGATATTTTTCAGAGAAAAGCAGATATTATTTAACTAACTAATTTATTTTCACCAGTTGTTCTCTTCTGAGGAGTATGTATTTGGCATAGCATCTTTTCTTCTAGGTTCAGTTGTTCAACCAACACTGCAGAACCCCACCTTCAATAATTTTGTGAGTCTTTTGGTAGATTCCTGAGATTGCAAACCAGAAGTCCTCAGTGATGGGCTGACTAGAAGTAGAACCAATTTTTCTTCTTCATATTTGGTTCTGGTTATGGCCAAAAAGAGGAAGCAAGGGAACTTTATGGAAGACTTTTTGAAAAGTCTTTGAACAAGATTTCAATTTTTCCTATTAATTAACCAGCATGCACTTTAGAGTTACAGTTAATCAAGCCCTCCTATTTTTAACTGGAAAAAAATTTTAACATATGTGGATGGACTGTCTCCAAATATTGTTGAAGAATTCGTTGTCTCAGGATCTCAATGATTGTATCCATGAGGAAGCTTTAAGTAGTACTTGAGGCAGCTGACAGTCCTGAGTTCCCAGGTTCCACTTAACCCGTGAAAGGTCAGTTTACAAAGGAGGGTTTTCTTTCCAGGGAGAATTGTATTCCATCTAAAATGCACTAAGGTCATTAAGTTCTTATCTAGGTCATGGCTTCTTGAGGAAATACATGACAGGAATAAGGGCTTATAATGATGCAATGATTTCACTGTTTAAGGAGTAATTGATTCCTAGTGCAAAACACTTTCAGTATTGCACTCTTCCCATCTGGTCTAGGAAAGGGCAGAGGTAAAATGTGCTATTGCATTATTTACAAGGTTATATGATAAAATACTTCCCATACCTAGGTGATTCTCTAGTCCTAAAAATGCTTTCAGCAGTTAAAAGAATCATTTCATTGCCTTCTCAAACTGTTAACTAATCTTCCCCAAGAGCTGACTAGAAAAATCCACCTTAATTCCAGGAGTGAAATTAGGCTATAAAGATCTTTGTGTAGTTCAAGACAACGGTTTTGAAGTTTGCCAGGATACCTCAGCTTTAATTGAACCTAAATGCCTTGGTGAAAGCATGTATCCTATTTCATGCACTTCCATAAAACTTCATGGTGGATTACACATCACATGAATGCAGGATAGATTAAATTGATATATCATTTTAACATGCATCACTTGGCCATGCTACCACTTCCTTCCTGAAGGGAAAGGAAAAGCCCAGAAATGTGCGTCAGTCACACCTCCTTTTCCTTTCAGGCTTTCAGACAGGCATGTATGGAATTAGTTTTACATGTGAACCAGCAACTGGATCACAGCATAGGTAGCAAAAAATTTTATTGTGCCTGAACTCTTGGCACTCCCACAGTGTCAAATGGGTTTTTCATTTTCTGTGTGCTGTCACCAGTAAGCATAAAGGCAGAGCTGTCTCCTGTATCCCAGTCTAATTCCATCTCTGCTGTGCAATCTCATGCACATGGGATGCAGGGGGGTAAGGGAAGGAGGGCCATGGAGGTATTTGGGTAGGTAATACACCTTGAAGAATGCAGTTACCGTACAGGTAAGTAATTATTTTTCCTTTCTGAGTAGTCATCTTTATAAGATTCCCGAAAAGAGGCTGTCACTGTTCATCATTCTGGTATTTTATCAAAATATACAGGAAGATTTGCCATTGGTGTGATGCTCAAAGGTATAATTGCTTCAGAGGAACAGTCACTGTAGGAAAAATGTTATAACTGTAGTTAAAATTGACAGATCTTTTTCCAGAGTTTAATTCTTATCACAATAAAGGTAGAATACTTCGTGTAATTAAATGGAGGAAAGCAGCAGCAGCACGGGTCAGCATGAGCCTGTCATGTTTTAAAGTTCAGAGCCAAACAGTTGGAAAAACATGCTTGTGTATCAAAAGATTCACTTCAATTTTATCAACTAATAAAAGACAGCAGCTTATATTTAAAAAAAGAGGTCATTCAAATACTAATCAGTTAGTTACAAACCAATGAGCTAGAAACAATTCTTTAAGAGTGTTTTCAGACTATATTGCACTAATGGAGGTGCTGCCTGACAAAGCAACAACCTGCTGCTCCTGCCAGTCATTTGTGTGGTTTTGTCAGGTGGTTACACACATCGTGACACCACTAGAAGAGTAAAATCACACATCTTTTAGCCAGGTTTGACCGAGACAGAAAGGAAAAACTTCTACTCACTCTTTCCTTACTGGCGGTTATTTGTATTAAAGTTCACCATTTCTAGGCAATTCATTCTAAGTCAGACTGAATTTTTAACTTGTAACCCTCTGTCATATATGTAAAAGTTTGTGTATTACATTAGGAAAAGTAATTATATATGAATATAAATTTTTCAAATGCAGGTAATACGGCACTGTATTCTTGGTATCACCAGTTGTTCTTCCTCCTGTCTCTTGAGAGTTCACCTGTCTGAATAGAGCACTATATAGTGTCATATTTAATAGTGTTGAATTCACCTCTGAAATGTTTGCCTGGAATGAAGAGTGGATATACCTATATGTTAGAATGTTTTATTCTGCATTCTTATTTTAAAGGAATTTCCATTTTAAATGCTGCTGTTCAAATGTACCATTCCCACTTCTGTTAATTGACACAGAGAACTACACATTCACTTGGCTGTCCATGAATGAGATATCAAGGACTAAAGTTCATGATTACTGTGTAATGCAGATAGGCAAATAAATATTTCCTAGGCTAGTATTCCTTGCAGAGCTTTTTGTAACCTTATTATTCATCTTTTTGACGAGACATCATTTACACTTGTCATAATATAAAGTAGTTTTGGAAGATGTTATCAGTGTTCGTAAAGATTCTGAAAATATGAAAACACGGTGAGCAACTCCTGGTTTTGAAATGTAGATCTCTTCATTTGTTTCCTTAGAAAACAGCATTTACTTGCCCTGAGAATCCACCTTGGAATGTAATCATCAGCAGAAAGCTGCTCTGCTTGCAAAGCCTGACAACTCCTGCTGCCCGTGCTGGTGGCTGAACACCAGCCTTGCTCTTTAACAGGGCAGTGGTGCCAGATGTCCTGCACTAGTCTGCTACAAAGCTTTGCATCTCTGCTTGAACACTGACTGAAAGGAGCAGTTTTGAGAAATGGTCAGAAATGGTTTTCACACAACTGTCTTTGAGGATATGGCCCTAGAAAGCAAGAGTCAAGGCATAAGTCAGATTCATTTGTTAAACTCCAATGACAAAGTTTTTCATTATGAAGGTTGCAAGGACAATTTTTTTCCAACTCAGTCTTCTTTTTCCTTATTCTTTGTATGGTACAAAACTCTTCAGTGTAAGTAGAAAATTACAGTCCCAAATACAAACGGACAGAAGCCAAAGGGGTGCATCTGACAAAGAACAAAATCTATAAATAGAAACATTTTTGATTCTTCCACTGCTAGTGAGATGGCTAAAAAGCCATGTATAACTTCAGTATGCATTAATATCTCATCAGAGCCCTGTGATCTAAACCAGTCTGCAAGACAAGAAATGCAGAAATCTTCCATCAAGCTGCTCCCTCACAGTGGATTTGTTAAGCAGCCGTTGTCCAGGGCATTCATGTATGCACAGCCTGCTTTGCAGCCTTCTGTGAAGCTGATTCTGCAGTAGCAGGAGAGACACATTTATTTTCCTTGCAAGACTAAAGTTAGAAGAGTCTCTCTTACCAATAACAATACAATCATTTTGTAGATATATTTATTTAAGTTATGCTGCTTGTAGAAACCAATAAAACATATTTTCTGAGGAACAGTAAGTTTTCATCAGGGGTCTGAACATATGAGGCACATGTGAACTCACTGCTCTGAAGATGCTCTTAATCAAAGAGCAACTCCTTAAGTTTTTAGGGAGTTTTGATACTTGAATGTCTGAGATTCAGACAGCCCAGATGAGTCCTTCATATTTCCTAGAGAGCCTTGGGTGTAAAACTTCCTTTAAGACTTAATCTGAACAGTGGAAAACTCTGTTGGGTCAATGTTTGCTTTTCTCCTTCTTAACCTGGAAATGGCGAATTCCAAAGTGCAGTGCTCTGTTTCCCTTCTTACCACACCTGCTGCTGAATGTGTGAGCAAATGGGCAATTCTGAATGCCTGCTACCTTCCTGCCACTTCTGGCTTCTCTGCTTCTTCAGAACTGCTTACTAATCCTTATTTTCCAACAATCCTTGCTTTTCTGTGCTGTATAATCTGACAAGACTGTGGTGTAGCCACACCAAGCAAGCACTCTGACATCCTGCTTCACTGGCTTTCTCTTTACTATGATCTTCCTCTTACTCTTGCATCCCTTCATCATTCTTTCCTCTGTGTGAAGATTATTTGCCTGCAATTGCGCCTTGGGAGGGAGAAGCACATTTTGATTGGCTTAAAACGTGGTTGGTTAAAAGGCTGTACTTCCAAACAAGTCGTCTTCACCTAGTCTCCCGTCATTTTCCAGGACAATCTGCGTAAAAAGGATGATCGGATTGAAGAATTGGAAGAGGCACTCAGAGAAAGTGTTCAGATAACTGCAGAGCGGGAAATGGTGCTAGCACAAGAGGAGTCAGCCAGGATCAATGCTGAGAAACAGGTCTGCAATCTTGTAAAGTCACTGGTAGCCCCTCCTAGGAAAGTAACCAGACAGTAAAGTACTAACCTCCCTGCTTTCCTGCGTGAAACACAGCTTTGATGATCTTGTCTGTTCCACCGTTAGGTAACAGCACTCATAAAATCTGCAAAGCCTTCATAGTAAGTTGTATTTCATAGGTAAGAATTTCTTGAAATTAAAATGGAAATATAAGGTATCCTGAGCTTTTGAAATATTGGTGTAAGTAGTAACCCTTCTGATCTGTCTTGCCTGTCAAAGCTGCCTTCCTGTGTGTGAGGTATACTTAGATTTACTTTGTTCATTGAATATATTTGAAAGACAATGGTTTTTATTAGCCTGGTTGTCTTTATGGACCACAATCTCCTTGCACTTGCAAAGCAGCTGGTTAAAAAGACAAATCCCTTGGCTTGAGCCAAGCATGCACACAGAAAATACAGACCTGTGTACTGAAGCCACTGGTAGAAACTTTCAACTTGCATTAATTGATTTTGTGCTACTTGTAACTAAAAAATCATGGACGTGCCTGATTTTAGCTCAGGTAAGTAATCATCAAGAAAGCATACCCTAAGATATGAATAAATCCTGAGATTTTGATGAAGTTTATGAAGCAGTAGCTGAAAGTGGCAGTCTTACTTTCTGTGAGCCTGCTCAGTGCTTTTCACTATATTTAGGGTAATAAGCAAACAAGAGCATTTGGTTAGTTGCATTTCAATGGAGGAATCTCCTTGTCTTTGTTATTTACTTAACACACTTCTGATCAAGTGCATTTCAAAACATTTTAAGAGATTTTTCTTATCATGTATTCTAGTATCACAGGCTTTAATGAAAAAGAAGTAAAAATCCAAGTTTTCCTGAAGATAACAATTGTCACAATTGTCTCTCTATGAGCTAGAGTCAAGTTCAGCTGTTTGCTGATAAAGTATTGAGGATGATTCTGGTTGCTGTATTTTAGGATCCTAGACAGTGTGATGGAACTCAGTTTCAAGAATGTCTTCTTTCCAAACTTCTTGTAGCCTTTAAAAAGAATTGAATGAAATAGAAATATTAACTGAGTAGTGAATGCCACTTCAAATATTACATCTCCTTGAAGGGAAAACATATCTGACAAAGCATTGGGTTCTATGATGAGGCACAAAAGTAATCAAACTAGTATGTGATTTGATGCCTAGGATATTATAATGTTTTCATTAATTAGTTACAAGACAAAGTGACCATTTCAATATTCTTTGAGCACCTAGAAGCTGGTGCTCAAAGAGTATAAAAATAAATAATTATATAAATATAAAAAATAAATTGTTGGAATTGGGTGTAACATCTTAAAAATGAGACAAGGCGGGGAAATGCACAGCCAGAATATCATAAACCATCAGGGTCAAGGGAGAGATTGAGAAGAGAGGAAGAGAGCCAAGACAAGTAAGATTTGTGGGTAAAGATTGGTGGAATATGGTATGTAATAGCATAAAAAAGAAATTAATTTGGATGTAGCAATGCACACAGAAGTGAGGAGGGAAAAGGAGGCTGGAATGAGAGCAGCAGTATTGGAAGGAAAAAAAGTTGGCATCTATGACAGCAGTGGCTTACTGCAATAGAACTAAACTGCTAATTATCACACCAATTATGGTTTTTAAAATATGAGCAACAAATCAGCACAACAGCAAAGGATCTGCAGAGTCTTGTTCTGCTCAGCACTGGGAGACCTGCTGTGCCTTGCTTTGTCCAATAGGATTTTGTTCTGGTATCAGTTAAATGCAGTCAGGTGTCTTTAGAGTGGTGGCAAGTAGCTGTTTTTCCAAGGTGAAGAGATTTCCCTTCAAATGTTTTTCAGTATATTCCTTCAATTACTTTTAAAGAATGCCCTCTTTGTTTAGTTATGTCCTGTGGAAGTTCTTTGTAGAATTTTGAAAGACAAACACAGATAATATTAGAGTTTCAAAATCCAAGACTCCATGTTCCATATACTAACAGTGGCAAATCCATTGACTTTCACAAACCATATAACAGATTATGAATGTTCTTAGACCGAGTGTGAGTGATGTGTGTGATTTTTAAAATGTTGATGTTGTTCAAACTGATTGTAATTTGCTTTTAATTGCATGCTTTTTCTTTCCTCTCTTGTTTGTCTCCTTTTCTACCATTCTGCCACTTCACTGCCTGTCTGAAGCTTTTTAATGAATCAGTGCATGAGGTCAACCATTTTGGCTTTAGGTGGTTCAAGGTATGAGGACATCTCATTTGTGTGTGCCTCTGCCCCAATATTTGTTGTTGTTACTGTAGCCTTGTGTTGTGTAATCCTGCCCTCCATCATCTCATGATGTGTGGTGTTGTGCTGTTTTATAGGCTTCAGATTTGAATTACAGTGTCCACAAAGCCACCTTGGATTTCATGGTTCTCATATATCCATTATAGATTAAAATCTTGCCCTCTTTAATCCAGTGTTTGAAAATACCCTGTCAGTGTGTATCAACTGTGACAGTGGGTTAACTGTGTTAATATACAATCTGTGTATGCAATATGTCTCCTGCTCACTAAAGTTTTCTGTTTATTTCAGGATTTTAGACCTGTTCTTTTTTTTAATCTTTCCCAAGAATAAAATCAGGCATTTCTTGCTGGGAGCAGTGCCCCCATATCTGGCATAGTTTTATTATCCCTCCTGATCTGTATAACAGAAACCCTGCCATACAGAAAGCAGATGAGGCAGTCTTGCACAGATGGGAAGGCTTGAAACTTCTTCAAGCCTTTCTTTCTAATAGTAGTCACCTGGTTTTGATGGTGCACCTGCTGAATCCTCTGTGTAAATACCATTGTGAATTCCTCTCAGCTGTGGGTTTATGTAGTTCTGTGGCTGGGCTCACTAGTTCAGCCCTCTGTGAGGATGGCCAGAAGGTGTATGCAGAATTCTTTGTAAGTACTCCTATAAGGCTGAAGGTAGGATTTCTCAGATAAACACTTCTATCATAAAGGTTTTTTACTAGAGATGGTAAGTGCAGATTCAGGCACTATTTCTGTATTAACCAAATCTGAATTTATTTTAGAAAAGCTATCATTTTGTTCCTCGGGGGGGAAAAAATAATTACATAGAAGTTGTTTGGAAGTTTTTGCTGCTCGGAAATACAGCAGCAGTTTTGCTCCCTAAGAAACACTGTTGGAGGGGTTTTTTTGACAAAATGCCCTGTCTTGTTCACAAACCCTTTCAGTGTCCTGGTGCATCTTTGCCATCCCTTCTCCTGCAGCAGGAAGTTTTCCTTTCTATCAACAGAGTCCTAGTCAGCACCGTTGCCAGGACAATGCTGGAAATGTGCTTTGATCTTCAGGGAAGAGTGGGACCCTTTTTGTGAAACCAAGTGAAACACAAGTTCAAGTTCTGTGACTCAGTTTCAAACAATAATTAGCAACAGGTTGTTGTCTCAAGGAGCACAGTAGTAGAAATACTGGGATTTTTAACCTTCCTTATTGGAGGGCATAGTTCACAAATATTTTCTGACCTAAGACACTTCATGCTCTCCTTTTCACATCCCTGCTGTTTCCCCAGCCAAGGTCGTTCTGGGGCTGTGTTATGAAATGGAGCAATGACCTAATTCATGGTAACAATTGTCTTATTTTTTGAAGGGATTTTTTCATGTGAAGCACTTCACTGCCCTGGTTCATGAATCCCCATGCAGAACTTGAGGGACATCTGTGGGGGCAGAAGTTGCTTAGTATTATTACTGAAAATATTTTTACCAGAAACTTACAATGGGCTCCTATTTCTCTGAGTGAGATGGTGCATTGCCTGACCACAACATACATTTCTCTAGCTTATTTTATTTCCTTTAAATTTGAAAAGCAGAAGATTTTAGAAATTTAAATAACATTCCTGCTGATAGTGGTACACCTCTGTGTTCTCATCAGTATCAACTCCTTCTTAAATGCACTCTCTGTATAGTATCAGCTAACATTTAACTCCTTACCCTAAAATGGAATGGCAAATAAATACATAAAATAATAGCCATTACCTCGTCATTCCTTCCTTCCTTAATAGTTACTTAAACTGAAGTTTTTAACTTGGCAGTCTGACCTTGATACCTTGTATCAACGTTTTTTGAAGTTTTGGTTCTCAGTGGGACATTTTAAATGAGGTTAAGTATGTCGACCTATAAATAGCTGTATCTGTGCTCATATACTGTGTCTTTTTATCCTACACGGGGCAGATTTTTCTGCTGTCCTTTTTTAAGGAAAAAATAAAAGACTGAATATTGTAAAAGTAATGTATTGTTTAAATGTATTTTCTCATGCTCATTCCTTTCTCCCACTGTCTCTATAAATTATTTCAGCAGGGTTAATATTATTTCAGGTACACACTCCATGTAAAATGTGCTGATAATAACACTCCTGAAATTCTCTCTCATGTATCCCTACTTCAAAATCGCTGTCTGTTTGTTAGGGAAAAATAAAGATGAAATAGGTTAATAGCTCAACCAGAACCTCCCTCACAGTTCTCTTGTTTCCTGCTGTAAAGATGAGATCTGCAAGGGTTTGAATGTAGAGCCTCCAAGAGCTTTTTCAGTCCTACCTGTAAGTTACTGTACAGAAATTCTCACCAAGTTTTGAGTGGAACCTGTCATTTGCACTTCCATCAGAACACCATTTTGATTTTAACTTTCTAGCAAATACTATTTAGACTACAATTCATTGTAAGACTAGAATAGAAACTACATTTACAATAGACTTATATATTGGATGCTGTCCTATCAAGTATGTTCTAAAAATGCAAAATAAATTAAAACACCTATCTTTTTTGCTGAGCATTCTGTTACTGAAATAGATCTGAAATATTTTCTCACATATGTTGAGAAATAATTGGAATTGTTTCACAGCACAATTTCAGACACAGTAAGTTACTTCCTGCAGGTCCCTGTAAATGAAAAATCTGAAGTGGAACTTTTCAGGAATCACTTACCTGTGGATGTTTTCTAAGCACCACAGAAATATCAGAGTTCTGACTG